TATGGCCAACCGTCTGTGGACACCTGACCATGACCCCTACACTGTATGGCCAACCGTCTGTGGACACCTGACCATGACCCCTACACTGTATGGCCAACCGTCTGTGGACACCTGACCATGACCCCTACACTGTATGGCCAACAGTCTGTGGACTTCTCTTTAAATTGTTGAGTTCAGGTGTTTCCAGTGAAAGTTACTGTTAATGTTACAACATAGAAATTTATTTTAGACAATCGAGCACTTCCAACGTTGTGGTAACATTTTGGTGAAGGCCTTTTTCTGTACCAACATGTACTCAAAGCCAGCTCCATAAAGACATGAATTGACCAGTTTTGCTGTGGAGTAACTAACTCGTGTCTTGCACATAGTCCTGACCTCGGCCCTACTTGGACACCTTTTGGGTTGAATTGTCACGCCAAAGCAAGGTCTTCCCATCCAACAACAGTACCTGACCTCACAAATGGTCTTTTGGCTAATTGGGCAGAAAACCTCACTGCAATACTCCAAAATCGGGTGGAAAGCCTTCCCAGAAGAGTGTGGGCCAAATAAGGGGGGAAGAACAGCAAGGGATTTTGGAAATGGGATGTAAAACAAGCTTATCAATGTGAGTTGGTCAGGTGTCCATTACCTATATGGCCATATAGTGTCCATCAGTTTTTAGTCTTGACACTTTTTTTTTTTTTTTTTTTAAATTGAGTTTGTGGTAAAGTAAATTCTCTCCAAAAATATGTGCCTGCCAAGAAGTTTAAAAAGTAGGGCATTTAATCTTAAGATCACCCAATCGTGCTGTTCCTGCTCAGTGGCATGCCGAAAGGCTGATGAATGATTTTCTTATGCATGCCAAACCACTCTTGCCAACAAAGCATACTCCCTGCCAGATCAGCATTGTCAGGACAGTCGGCATGCTCCAGCAAATCCTTTTTTGTGAATTTGTACTTTTTGCCTTTTTTACCATGGCAGATCAGCTCATTTTGCAAAACCGGTTTCTAAAACCTAATTAATTGTGTGCCAATCTATCCCCTCCGATATATTGGGCTGGTAGACTCCACGGCTTATTCAGAGCAGGGAATGTTGCCATTGCATCACGGCATCTCAGCTTGTTAAGACTAAGCAGGCCTGAACCAAGGAAACAAATGCCAGGGTGTGGCTGGACACAGCTGCTTAGATTGACTTTGTGTAACGTGGTATACCATTCCAGGTGCTTGGGGACAGAATAGAGATATTAAATATATATCTTTCTATCTTCAAGCAGCCTTTTCTAAACCAAATAAGGTTGTGTCAATCAGGGATGTTAGACTCTAGCAGCTTGCAGCAACCTTATTGTTGACAATCCTGGTGAAATATCAGATTTAGGCTGATTTTAGCAATGTCTTGATGGTATGGAAATGACTAGAATTTAAATAGTTTGTCCAATCAGATTACACCATTTATTTTAGAAATAAAAGCCCCTCTTGCCATTAAAAGCCTCTATTGTGCCCCTCTGAAACTGCCACGTTGTGACCAAGGACTTCAGAGCTAGGTGCCGCATCATCTGGCATTCCCCTATCCAGTGGGAGTGTCCCAGTTGGCCAGAGAGACCCTGGTTCCAAAGGAGGGTTTCTTGGCTAATGGTAATGAGAGAGGCCAGAAAAATTTTGGTAAAACAAATATTCCAACTTGAGCTGTTCATCTCCAGTAAGGAGAACAGTGAGCAGCAACGTAGTGACATCACCAAACTTCAGATCTTGAGGCGATCAGTCAGAAGCAGCAGTGCCTTAGATGACCTCACGCTGCACAAATACTGATGGTGACTAAAGGCATAGGGGTGCCTAGGCACAGTCGCATGGCTGGAATTGCGCTGCTGTTTTTCAGGAGGACAAAAGTTCGATTTTTGGGGTATTTCTAACACAATTAACACTTCTAGATGTTCTCAATAAGACAGCAAATCTTCACATTGAGTTCAGGAGAACTTGAAAGAAAAATGGAGGTGAGCGGGCAAAGTCTATCTGGATGATGTGGTCTGGATATGAGACCAGCACCTGCTTTGTTCAGCTAAGCTTTGGAATTGCCACGAACCTCCTCGGCGACTTCTGTATCCGCTCTGTGTCTGTATCTGTCATGTCCTTTTGTGTTTCTATCTTTTACTTCTTCCCATTGTTTTGTATCTGGTGGGACAGCTCATGGAATATCACAGTGGTATTGTAACAAGGTTGTAAAATTTGAGCCGTGGGTGGCCCTGTTGGTAGCTGGGGGTGAGTAGAACAAGGCAGCAAAGTTGTTAAGGATGCAATGGGGCGGCTGCTCCTGAACTGGAGGTTATGCCGCATCAAGTTGTCTTTTGTCTTGTCAATTTAGTTTTTTTTTTCTCCAGTTCTTTTTTGGCTCCCTTCACCCCTTAGCATTGCAATGTGTTGCCACATGCAGTTCAGTGTAAGCCCAGTCATTGTACATGGCCCACCAACGTACCAGGCTTGAAGCGGATATTTAGTATATGCATTGTGGTACGCTGCATCTTAGGTCTGTCGGTACCTACTGTACTTTTCTGTTTGGATGCCATTCACAATGAGAGGCGCCACATTGCACTCAGTGGCATGCTTTACCATGCATAGGTGGGCAAGCAGCCTCAAACCTTTAATTTTGGTAATTCCATGGAGAAACAAAATGGTCATTTAAATAGCCCAGACATAACCGATTTTGAATCTTATCTTTCATATAATTCTTATAATTCCATTTTCTCTACTTATGGTTGTACCATATTTGTTAGTCACTTTTTTTTTTTCCCCCCTTCCCAATCCTGCTGTAGGGACTTACCTTAAATGATGTCTCTTAATCCGATCATCTTCTTTCCTGTCCTTTTTCAGCTGTCCCTCCAGCGCTGACTCCTCTGTCCTCCTCTTCTCTGATGTCTCAGTGTCTGTGCGGGTGCACGCTGCTCCATAGACTTACCTTTTGTCTCTCCTCGTCTCCCGGCCAAACATCTGAAGTGTGCATGCGCCCGCCCCAAGATCCTTTGTGGCCGCCCGAGACTCTTCAGATGTTCGGACGGGAGCGCGCAGTGAAGACACAGGTAAGGCTTTTTCTCTTAAAGGAGAACTATGGGGTCAGTGTTTTTCCCCATAGGTCTCCTAAGGGTCACGGGAGTTACACAAACTAGCGTCCTCCTGTCACCCAAAGCTCAGTAAATAGGGAGCTACAGCTCGCGATATACTGAGACCGCCACTGCCGGGACGGATCCCGACATTACTGTCGAGATCCACCCAGCTGCGTGATTGACAGCTGGCTCTGCCTATCTAGAGGCAGAGCCAGCTGTGCCCGCCCTGTCCGTTCCGCCAGTCAGCGCTGGAGGAGCAGGGAGGGGGACCCTGCAGGGAGCCGTGAGTGACGGTCACAGCTCTCTGCAGGGACATGATCGAGAGACGGTATGTGTTCGCTCACTTCCCGATCTACTGAACCGACCTGTGACAGTTTCATTATCGCACTTCGGCTCGAACTATGAGGCTGAGTGAAAATCACTCGCCTCATAGTTCTCCTTTTTAATGTTTTTGCATACATCTACGGCTTGCTGTAGATGTATGCAAAAACACGCGAGGGTTAAATAACCCTTTTAAGACCATCATTATTTCATCCGAAAAATCAGTGTCATTACTTTTCTTTCCATCCAGCTGTTTAAGTTCCTCATATCAGAGACGACGCCTGACAAACTCACAGGGTCAACTAGTCAATTCATCCAATGGTGCTGTTCAGGGACAACACGAAGTTCAGTAATGGGCAAACATTTATAATTGTGGTTACTTTCAGTCACCCGCCCTTCATACCCCTTGGAGATGTGGGAACCAAATAATGGTGTATGAAAATGGATTTCTGGAAAATGGAAACCACATTCTCTCCATCATTGAGCTATCAGAAATAAAATTACTGAGTGCACGCAAAATATAAAGTCCATTAACTAGTCAAGTGTATCGCTGGCTGGAGTTCTCCTTTTACAAGTCTGGTGGCTTGGGAAAAGGGCCTTGTTCAATAAAGTGCGTCTCCTTTGCAGTGCAGCCTCCAGTTTTCTATTACAGGTGAAACTCGAATAATTAGAATATCGTGCAAAAGTAGTTGCAGTAAGTGCTGCAAAAGGGGCCCAAACCAAGTACTGAGTACATATGCATGCTTGTACTTTTCAGAGGTCCGATATTGTTCTATGTACAATCCTTGTTTTATTGTTTGCATGTAATAATCTACTTTTCTGAGATTGTGGATTTGGGGTTCTTGGGGTTTTCATGAGCTGTAAGCCATAATCATCACAATGATGACAAATCACGGCTTGAATTATCTTGCTTTGCATGTAATGAGTCTATCTCATATATTAGTTTCACCTTTTAAGTTGCATTAGTGAAATAAATGAACTTTGCACGATATTCTAATCGAGTTGCACCTGTATAGTCTGGAATCTGGTTGGACTCTGCCAATCATTTTTTAGAATGTTATGAAAGACCCTCTGATGACCCAGAGCGCCCCACCTGAACTCTGGGCAAGAACCTGTGACCGGTGTGAGTCCAGAAGCAGTTTTTCCTTCACCGCTTTTTCTTTTATCCCACACAGAAAGAAGCAGTTCAACCTGCAGAGTGTAAACAGCAGTGATGGCAACAAGATGGCGGACACATCGCTAGAGTTAAAATTTTCCAGATCTTCAGGATTCTACCGTGCTGCAGCAAATTTTAGGTCAAAGCTCAATCATTTATTTTTTTTATTATTGCATGATTTTTTTTTTTTTCGTTTTTTATTTCTCCCTTTTTTCAGGCTCACTTCTAAGCTGTATTAGAATTTTTTGATCATATTGGGTACTCCTAGAACAGAAGCACAGCCTAAGTCCACACACTGTATTTTTTTTAAATTTTCTTTCTTTATCCCTGTTTTTGTTACTTTTTTTTTTATTTGGATACATTATTTCTTGATTTCTCTAAGAACTAACCAAAATGGGGGGGGAAACAAAAAAGTTCCCCATTGTCGAAGTAGCGTGACAGCAGCCATTTTGTGCCATGACTCGACGGCGGGAGCTGGGTGTCGGGAGCGAGCGCTCGTCACCGAGCTCCGAGGTGCTTTGCATCCGTACCGTCGCTTGTTCTTGATGGGTAGAATATCGTTTGAGCCAGGAAACCGCTAGACACCCCCTGCCACTTTAACGCATTGGGTCGGCGTTACAAATATGCCTGTTGGAAATGACAATTTATATGCAGTGAATCGCTTCATTATACACACATTCTACTTATTTAACTTGTACAGAGTATTTAAAAAAAAAAAAAAAAGATGCAATAAAATAAGATGAAATAAAAATGGAGCTTAAAGCTGGAATATGTTTATAGTGATCGGTTACTTGTGGGGAGATTATACCGGGTGACAAAAAAGGCTTTACAAAAACAACTCAATTGAACAAAGAAAAGGCGCATCATAAGGTATCGGTACATACACTTAAAGTGAACCTGTCAGATGTTTTGAGATCAAAAGCCACTGGCTAAGGGAAGGCTTTACAAGGTGCCCGCCTTTAACTTTGTTAGCTGTGTACCTCTGTAATGCCAGCTTCACTTTGTTACCAAGGGCTCGACTTCTCTGTCTCTGGAGCTAAGACCCGCCCCCTAAGAGCTTAACCTACTTCAGTCCAATGAGAGCTCCTCAGGTTCCAAGGGCTCAACTTCCCTGACTCTGGAGATAAGTCCCGCCCCCCTAGGAGCTAAACTTATGTTCTTCAGTCCAATGAAAGCTCCTTAGACTTCTCTGACTCTGAAGGTAAGATTTCCTCCCCCCAGGAGCTAAACCTACTTCAGTCCAATGAGCTCCTCAGTTTCCTAAGGGCTTTAACTCCCCTGACTCTAAAGATAAGCCTGTCCCCTGAGAGTTCAACCTACTTTTGTCAGTCCAGTGAGTACTCCTCAGGCTACAAAGATCTCAACTTCCATGACTCAGGAGATGAGTTCTGCTCCCTAGGAAATAAACCCATCTTTGCCCAGTGAGAGCACCTCAGGCTACTAAAAGCTCAACTAACCTGACTCGGGAGAGGAGTTCTGCCCCCTAGGAGCTAAACCCACTTTCTTCCAGTCCAATTAGGGCACCTCAGGCTACTAAAGTCACTTTTTGGACATTGGGGGGTAGCATGCTCCTGGCACAGGGCTTCAATCGGGGAATTCCCTTAGTAACAAAGTAACATTTCAGATGGCTTTGCACCAGAGCTTTAAAAGTGTTTCATAGTCAATATTATGATTCATTTCCCATAATATACCTGGAAGTGTGCTGTTCATGGGCCAATGTTAAACAGTAGGGTGACCCTCGTGTTGCGTAAGTACTAGAAGCATTGGTTGAATTGACCAGCTAGAATTGTCTATTGTGCCACTATACAAATACTTTCTTCCCATTAAGAAGTGTTAAGGCCAAGTCTGCATCAAGGCAGGAGATTGCTATAATAATATGTATTCCACTTGCCTTCGTGGCACAACCCAGAGTTCTCCTCCAATGTTATCAGCACCTGTGCCTTCAAAGATGTCCTTGGGGAATTAACTGGTATCCGAGTCAGTAAAGGCGACACAGAAGGGTTTGGTTGGGGGTGGAGCGCGATCTGAGGGATTTCTTGGGTCCTGATGATCTGGAGAACTGTAGGTTTAGTAGTGTTGGTATAGCAGTTAGGCTTCTTCTAAACCAGGGTTGCACTTTACCTACTGAGGGCTAGTGGGTGATGACCTAAGATGTAGACAAAAGAGCGCCAAAAAGATGAACCCATGAGGTGGTTAGGTGCAAATGATCATCTTTTTGTATCACCGATTGCCAATGAGTTTCAGTGAAAGAGAATCCACCTTCAGGGTCTGAATGTACAGGAGAGTCTGCGGCTTAAGACATAAGTCAATCACTCTCCTGTACATAGAAACCCTGAAAAAGGGTATTCTTTTAACCCCCAAAACGCATCTGATTATCTCCTTAAACAACGATCATTTGCACCTTAACTGCCTTGTACTCAAAGTTGTAGGAAAATTGAGCACCAGACAAATGAATGAAGCAAACGGGAAGATGGCGGTGCACAGGTGCCAAACAGCACAAATCATTAGAGAACTATGGGGTTAGGGCTTTTCCCCATAGTTCTCAGGGTAACGGGAGGACACAAACTAGCGTCCTCCCGTCACTCTAAGCTCAGCGCTGGAGGAGGGGGGAATCCAGCCCCTCCCCTGTCACGGCAGAGAGCCATGACGGGATCGAGAGGTGAGCGAACGCCGGTATGTGTTCGCTCACTTCCCGATCTACTGAGCCGACCTGTGACAGTCTCATTGTCACAGGTCGGCTAGAACTATGAGGTGAGTGAAAAGCACACCCCTCATAGTTCTCCTTTAAACATCACACTCGCACATTACTATTACTCCTCTACCTGTGAACGAGTCCATTGTTCCTGTCCAAATAATGGGTAAAGACTGCTTTTGATTGAAAACAAGGCAATGTGCCATAGCCCATATCGGGCATTCAGACGACTGCTTCATTGCTTTTCTTTCCTTCAGTGCACAAGTAGACCAGAGAATGGGCATGTCCAGAAGCACCCTGCGCTTGCTGCGACCTGGAAATTTGTAGCAGTCATGGTCACAATAAAGGGTTTAAGAGCCGAGCACCTCCGAGCTTGTGATCACCTGGCGATCTGGCATTGCCTAAATACTGTTCAATGTTCTGTCACTTATATGCAAAGGTAGAGAGACGGACATCTACACTCTGTGTACATTGTAGTATCTGAAGGGGACAATGTATTTCCTAAATGGAAAGCACATCATGTAAGGGTTTTCTAAATTGTTAAAGGGGCACACTGATTGCTGGGGTTTAATGCACATTGCATATGCTCACTGGTCTCTTCACTGGCTCATTGGATAACCTTGTTTGTGGCGCAGTTAGTTTAAAACCGATAATTACAGATGATGTCCCGGCCTGCCTTGCTCGGCATGTTATGTTTGATGTGGTCGGTGGGAGAATAAACAGCCACAAGCCAATCGATGAGTGTGGCTACAGTGTGCCCGTGCTTTGCGCATTATGAATTGGGTATTCTTTGGTAAGGATATTTAAAGGGGCAAGTGACACTGAACTCAGGAGTTAGATCTTAAAAATACATTCAACGACCTGAACTATTAACCACAATGTATCTTATTTGTGTATCACTCGGCTGTAGTTCCTCCAATCATCTCTGAATTGGTGCTGACACTGTCCTTCCTTCTGGAGGGGGGCTACTTTTGTTCCCCATGGTCCCTGTGTATGTTGTAAAGTAGTCACCGCTCCAAGCTCGCTCCTGGGATGGAGTACAATCTCAATAAAAATTGGTAAACTAAATATGAGATTGTAGTCCATCCAGTTTTGTTAATAGTTAAGGTTGTTGAATGCATTTATAAGATAAACGCCTCAGTTAAGTGTCAGTTATCTTTTTGCTTCCACTTATTTCTTAAAGCAGGTTGAAGCCCGTCCATTATAAGCCTTTTCACAATGCCATTGTCTGAACGGCTCTCTTCCAAACCTGTTTGTGATTGTCTGTCTAGCTGACAATCCGTCCTTGTTCTGTACAATCTCATCCAGTGTTTATTTGACCCCCATACATGTCGGGACTATTTCACAATGTCAACTTACGATCTGTTTTTAATGTGTGACTAGCCTTAAAGTGGAACTCCGGGCTTTGTGCCCAACGGCAAACTGGGATCCTTTAGCTGATTTTTGATGAATTAAAATAGTCTAATTGAAAAACTTCCTTCCCATGATTTCCACTAACTGGGGCTAACTCTGTATCACCCTGGTTGGTGGGAGGGTCTCACGTGATGCTTGCGTCACAAGAGTGTCATGTGGAGCCTAAGTTTCCTAAATTAGTTTATGCCAATGGGATTGCACTGTCATCACTGTTGATGACACGGGTCCAGCTGCAATGTGCTTCAGGACGCACATCTGTTCCCAGCTATGTGACACTGCAAACCTAGGTCAGGGATAAACAGCTTGGTGTCATCCGTGGCTTGGAGTGTTTGCTGAATTTTGATGTGTGGGGGTTGGGATATTATAGATATGGATACATTGGTTTCTTGCCATTATAAAAATGAGCTTTACATCCAGCCATGGAGTTCCACTTTAAAAGAGCGGAAGTAGAGTCGGAGTTCTGACTGCGGCAATATTGAGATGTTGAAGTTTTTGGTTTACATTTGCCTAGCTGTCTTACCTCAAAATCAAGTAGAAGCTGCAATTTGGTGATTTCGTTCTTTATGAGCCGAAGAGCTTTTCTTTTTGGGGGGGTATAATGTCCCCGTGATTCAGGAATTGTAACCTCTTGAGGAAGAGGAGTGTTTGGTCAGTACCGGAGTAGGTTTGTACAATAATCCTCATCCTGCACATGTTTAGACTCTGCTGTTTTTGTTGCAGACCTTCTATTTATTGATTAAACAATGTTTATAAAGACAGGTCTCTTTTTTTTTTTTTTGTGTGTTAGACTTTATTTGTTTTTCACTGATTATGTCAGGATATTAATAAAGCAAAATGTCTGACCTTTTCTGTGATTCCGTGATTCATTTGGATGTAGCTGCAGTCGCTGGGTGTGCAGGGCAAATTATGAACTCGCTGCTGATTTTTTTAATATATACACTGAGTGGCCAGATTATTATGACCACCTGACCTTTTGTAGGCACATTAGCTATAATTTGGCGCTGAAGTTGCTAGAGGGCCAGACCATTATAAATAGGGAAGCAGGTTGTTTACCACGACAGTAGAAGTGATTTGTTTCTGAAGATACGGGGAAACAACGAAATTTAACAGCCTTTGAACGTGGGATGATTGTTGGCGCTCGGAGCCATGGAGCGAGTATCAGCAAAACAGCAGAATTCGTTAAATGTTCAAGAGGGGCGCATTGTGAAAGTGTTTAAAGACCGGACTGTCAGCCGAAAATCTGGGTCTGAATGTGCGAATT